TATATGTATATTGTTAATACAACTAAATTTTTTTGTTGGTTAATTCGATTAAATTTCGCGTATTTTATTACGTTAAATTACGATCACGATTGATTTCTAATTTTTTCTGAAATATATAAATATTTTCAATAAATCCGAATGAAAAAAAAAAAAGAGAAAAAAACACGAAAAAAAAAGATGATGATCATGCGAATGAATTATATTACGGTCGCGTGCCGCTGCGTCAAAGAAAGATTGCATTGGAATTTTTTGTCTTATGACAAATGATAAGTCACACAAGTGTTTTTTTCTTCTTCTTCTTTTTTAGCTAAGATAATTGAAAGGAAAAAATGAAAAGGAAAAAAAAGAAAAAACAAATATCTCAAACTGCACTTAAATGCGCCGTGCGTAGAATACTTGTCCCCCCCCCTTTCCCACCCACCACCTCCACAACCCACGTTTTCGATTTTATTTCAAAATATAGATAACTCGTTTTCCAAAAAAACAAAAAAAGGTTTTACAATGGCGATGAAAAAAGAAATAATAAGATCATCGTATTTGTTCTTCTTCGATAATTCATCGATGCGAAAAATAAGTCCAATTAACGTTCCCCGATGTGATCACGGATAAAATTCTATTAAATATATATATAGAAATATCTATTTCTTCGTTCAACGTAAAGAAGAATAAAAAAAGAAACGGATAAATAAAATGAGATAAAAGAAGAGAAAAGTTAACGGGAAGAAAAATGGACAACAAGAACAAACAAAAAAATAAAAGGTGAAAGAGTCTTGCAGTATTATATCCAGACTTTCATCCATATATATATATATATGTATGTATGTATGTATTCTTATAGTGAAGAAAAAAAAAAAGTATATAAAATTCTACCGGTCTTGAGAATAAGTTCGTAAGGGACAGAAAAGTTGGTTATACTCGTAGGAAAATATTTTTATCGTTCCTCCTAACGACAATTTCGCCAATCGTATATCCTAACTCGTATTTATAACTCATGAACGCGTTAAGTAAATACTTTCTCTTCGGTTTAATTGCAGCTCACTTTTTCTCTTCTTTTTTTCATTCTTTTATAATTTCTTATAGTCGCGGTACGTTTAATCGTTAAACGATTAGCGACCATTCACTCAACTATTTAACCAAATTAGTCATTGAGAAGAAAAAAGGGAACTTAACCGAATGGAAAATAAATACGAGAATTCGAATTTTTATTCGGACAATTCGAAAAAGTAAAAGAAATAATTTAGATAGAATGAAATAATCATCAATGGGAATTGTTCGAAACGTGTTAAACGAAGATTAGTCTCGATGTTCATGGTGTTCTGAACAATTCAACGTTTATAATCTGACGTGTGTTTTATAATGAACAATAAGGATTAGACAAACCGAAAAATAATCTGTGCGTTGTTGAAATAAATAAAATAAATACACTGAATTAAAACATAGAATAAAAAGCTACAATGATAACAAAAATCAGCTGTTATGAAACAGATAAAAAAGAACTTTTCGGTAAACCTAATATAAGAATAAGAATAAGAATGAAACTGAAAAAGAATAATAGAAAAGTATTGATAAATAGGCACGTATGATAAATTAGGATCATCTAAAACAATATATGAAGACCCACATTTCTTATTTCAATCTGACGTGAATTATAAACCCATACAACACATAAAACACGAACAACGAGTATAAGAATAATACCATAAAATACTTGGGTGCATGATAAATTAGCGAAAAGTTTCATAGATTTGGAATTAACTCGGGAGTTAAGAGTTACAGAAAAGTGAAAACTTTTTCCAACGTGAGATGATGATCCTTGGGGCCTACCTCAACGGATGAACGATTACGTTCCAACGAAATTCCAAAGAATCCGAGTTTCTTCGAGGTAGAGGAAAACACAGCTACCGCCTTCATCGTCACGAAAAGGGGGCAGGTGGGGGAGCTGATAAAAAAAAAAAAGTAAATCGTGCATCCATGCTAGCTAACCAGCTAGAGTCCCAGCTATCACATAGCGTACGAACTCGCGAGAATGAGAGAACCATGATGGAATTGAAGAAGC